AAGAGCATATAGGAAATCCAATGGTGTAAGATTGTTTCGTGAGATTTAAGCACAATCCAATGACTAATATCAAGTGAGTCAATTAATTACTAATGGGCTTGAGTTTTGGATCTAAGAAAATTTCCTTTTCTCTCCTAAAATAATCCCTCTAGCACGCCTAAGATCACTCTTTTCTTTTTCCATCTCCATAGCACGCACGGACCATAAAAACGTGAATCCTCTCCTTTCAACAATATCCCACATTCACCATATACCATCTAGTCACCATCATCACTCCACGTATAAAAAAAGCCGCACGCCCTCTCGCATATATCCATTGATTCCATTCTATATTCACCCACCAATTTCAATCAATTCCTCTCCTTTCTCACTACACGCACAGCTTCTCATCTACACCTCATCATTCATGGCCGTGGCATCTAACAACTTTGGAGGAAGAGGCATTTTGACGGAGGCTTAAGCTTGTTAGGGAGGCAACTTGAGAGGAGCATGGAAGAGACTCGAGCCTTGGGCTAGCACTTGAAGACCACAAGGGAGTGATGTTCCATTTATCTTTTTAATTCAAGGACTTGAGATTATTTAGTTTTAAATAATTTTAAGTTGTAATTTTGTGAGACAATTTAGTTCTAGATTGTCATCTTTATGTTTAGATTGGATTTATATTTGGATTTTATGTGTGTTGAGACACTTGTTGGAATTTATGTTTAGAACCTTTGCATTGTTAATTGAATTTATAATTGAGTTTTCATTATGAGTTTAATTATCAATGTGGTTTGAATTGCAAAATTTGGGTTCTTTTACCACTTAATTGTTTAATTAAGTTGGTTAATTTTCTAATTGTTTAATTGGATAATTTGAAACATAATTTTCAAAATTAATTGAGTTATTTTTCATTGGTTTTAATAAACTTAATTAACCAACCTTATACTGTTATGAGTTCTCTAATAGTTTAATAGTTTTGAAATTGAGGGTTCCCTTTGTTTCAAGTAGGTAATTAAATTTATTAACTCCACTCTCTTATCACTTCCCTTTGGTCTAATTAACTAATTAAGGTTATGAAGGTTAAATCCATGCAAATCCTAATTTGTCCCCTCTACCTTATGTAACATCCTTATTTTTACTTAGTATTTAATTAAATTTATAAATAAATATATTTTAATATCAAGTTAATAAAAAGAAAGGTTAGATATAAGCAAATTATTATTATTATTATTTTAATAATGTTTTTGTGTGTGATTGTGTGTGTGTGGATGGTATTCTACAAAATTATACCATGGTATAGAAGTCCCACATCGACTAATTTTTAGAGTGAAGGAGTTTGAGGAGCCTATATATAGGAGATAGTGAGTGGAGCTTGAAGTGAGTAAATAATTTTCACACATATCTGAGGTAGTCTCAGAAAAGTACTAGTTTTGAGTTTATTAACCGTTGGATCGGACTGAAATTTGGTCAGCCCATTTGGGACATCCAAATCGTTAATTTCAACGGTTGGATTATCATTTTGATCTCTGAGTTACAAGTTATTAGGTACGTTTTTAACTTATATCTTTTGGATTTAGCAGATAGAGTCCTGAATAGTAAATTAGCATTTTAAAGTTCATTCACCGTTAGATTGAGCTACAATTTGGAGGATAGTATCATGATATATAGGAAATTAAATTCAACGGTTAGATTAAGGGTTTAACTTCTGTAGTGAGAATAACCTGGTTCGTACTAAGTCTATTTGTCTAAGTCCTTTGAAGATGGAATATAAGTTATCAATTTATAATTTGTCTATTTGCATTATGAATTTGATGATTCTAATAATATAATCTAATAATTAAAGGATATTTAAGTAAGGGAAAATTCAGGAATCGAGTCTAAATCATATGTGTGTGTGTGTGTGTTCTCATTCCAAACCTTAGAGAAATGTCTTTTAGGCTAGAGTTCTGAGTAAAATTAAAGCTTTTAGAGGAGGAGTTAGAGGCTAGAATTTTGTGAGTAGCCTACTCTAATACTATAGAGATAATATTTTAATTTTGTTTGTAGATATAAACTCTATTGTGGCATTTTCGAGGTTGGACTCTGGTTATAGTTGACTGTTAGCTAGGAGACCAGGTAACTAAATTTCTATCTGTTGCGTGCTCTAGTATGAAGTTGGTGAGCGGCTTTATAACTAATTCTATAAAAGTATATTACGTTTTGTATGAACTGTCTTGTGGGATGCTATTTTAAAAAGGATTGACATAATTTGTATTGCAAGAAATTGGTGATCATGATTATGATGTGCTATTATGAAATTCTGTTGATTATGCATATAAATCTGTGATTTTGAACCCTGTACATCTATTTTGGGTGGGGAAGGAGATGATTGGAGTTATTGAGATTTATATACTTACCACGTGGTATCGGCCTCCATACGGAGCTCTATGGTTGGCCACTATTATTGTCCCACTAGTTCTTCGAGGGACTGCGACACCCCACTAGTTCTTCGAGGGGGGACCCATGGTCCACCGAGTGCTCTGTGGTCTTTGGCCGGTCCATATCACTTGAGTGGTGAGCTTGTCAGAGTAGCCAGTCAAATGGAAAGAACTTAGCCCATGGGTCCAGTCGGCGGAAATAAGGAGGATATAAGGATGGATTTGGGTTCAGGAATTGCATATGACATGGGATATTCATTGATATTTATATCTGTTAAATAAATGATAAGTATGTTATTTCTTTTGGAATGTATCAATTGTATGAGAGTGGTGGAAATATTTACTTATATGATTATTGTGAGTTTAAATGTTAAATAAATGTTTATCAATTATTATTAATCCTGTGTATCCCACCTGACATCTCGCTAGCCATGCTAGGGTGTGTAATAGGTAGGGATTTAGTTACTGAGACGTTGTCTCATTCCTATTATTTAACATTTTTTAGGTGAAAGTTTTAAAAGAGGGACGTTAGGGAAGGCTCAGGAGGAGTAAAGCTACATTAGTAACTTGTAGCGTCTCCTCGATTTATGAGCTATGTTGTATCCTGTATATTGCCATCTTAGGATAAATTGGTTTTAATTTATTCATGCACTATTATTTCTTATGTCCTTTGAGTGTACTATTGTGGTATGTGTGCTGATAGGTGGCCAGAGGCCTAGGATCGCATATTCGCATGTGCTTTATTTATGAATTTATTATAAAGTATGAATTAAGATTTAATTTTTAATATTTTGATTTATGAGCTATATTATATGTTGTTTTATAACCATATTAGATAAGATTGATCATTTCTTATATAGTTTGTATTTAAATGAGTTAAGAAAAGTTCTTTTATCCGTGATAGTATGTATGATTGGGTGCTGCTCTTTTCTATCACGGATAACAATATTATATAATTAGTTAGTGTAAATGATTGTAATATAATTTGAGTTTGTATTTAGCATGGTTTGGTTATAAAAAGTTATTTCTTCAAGTTACTATAAAAAAAAAATAGGTTTATCTGTTTATTTAGGAAGGTTGTTTCACCTTACCTGAAGAGAACTTCTCCATTTTTACTTGTTAATTTTCTTTGCTTCCTGATTAATTTTCTTCATTTATCATTTTAATTTGTTTTCTTAAAAAAAATCCCCCCAAAAATTGTATTACATTTATTTAGTTTAATTTAATTTTCATATAGATTTTAGGACATTTGCATGTTCCATTTAGAATTAGAATTTTGCATTTTAGTTTAGGTCCAATTTATTGTATTTTTTTATCACCTAAATTTTTACCTAAAGAAACCCATAAATTGCTCCTTGAAAGTAATGACCTAGGTCGATCCTGAACTACAAATTAATTGAGTGCTTTAATGACAAAAGCATCATCAGTCCTCATTTCTAATCCCTCATTATCGATTCCCACCACCACCAGTACAATACTACGTCTGATCCTTAATACAAAATCCTGTTTGACTTTTATTTTAGTTTTAAATATAAAATCTCAATCCACTTTGTCTCTCATATTTATATATTTTTATTCAAAACAGTCCTTCTAATAATTATAGCCCTAGCCAATATATTTGATTGTAAGGATATTTTAGGAAGAACAACACCTATTTATTACAAATAACTAACTTAACTTTTTTTCTTAATCTCCTCAAATTAATCAATTGGGTCTTATAATTAGAATCTAGATATACGGTAATTTCAACCCATTGCTTGCCGCCTCATTAATCAGGTCTCTCAGAAGGACGCCATTCTCTACTGTCATCATTTCGCTACCAAAAAGTCAATAACAGTGAAGCGGAGTTGTCGTAGGCGTGCTTGATATGCTTAGTGTGGGGATAGAGAGGAGGATGAGAGCGAGACCCACAAAGCCGAGAGGGGTTGGACATGGCGCTTGGTGTGGGGAAAGAAAGAAGAGAGTGGGGGGCGGATGAGAAGAAGAGAGATTGACAAAGGCAATAGGGAGTATTGAGCTGACAAAGTGGGTCCACCGAATAAAAAAGTAACCACGTTTAGGAGATTAACGGAGATGGTATTTATGTCCCGTTTGAAACGCTAATACTCCTCCGGTCCTTATTATAAGACCCTATTTGACTTTTTATTTGGTCCTAATTATAAGACTCCAATCCATTTTGTCTCTTATATTTATGCATTTTTTCCAAGATAATCCTTCTAATAATGATAGTTTTAGCCAATATACTTAATTAGCAAGGATATTTTAGGAATGACAACACTTATTTATTATAAATAACCAACTTAACTTACTTTCTTAATCTCCTCAAATAAGTCAATTGGGTCTTATAATTAGGACGGAGGAGTATCTATTTTTGTATCAATAAAAACTAAATTATAATTTTAAGAATAATTTTATAATAGTCAAAATAGTACGAGGAAGAATAAGTACGAGGAAGTATTTTTGAAAGTGATTTTACGTTCTTCCAAGCACCCTTCAGTCTTATGTGTAAACCATCCTTAAGAGTTAAGATTGCTTCCAACCTAAGCTGCATCCGGAACTGTTTTATGACGTTAAATAAAATCAAAGCATAAGGGCTGGACGACGGAGAATGGGGAAAGGAAAGTTGCAGAGCACCCAAGCTTGCTAGCGTCTCTGGCGTTGAGATTCAAGAGCTTCAATGTTGGCGGCCAATTAATTTCCAGCTTCAAATCTAATACCCACTTCCATCCATTTTCACACTGAAGTTCAGCACCCTCCTCCTCAATTCCTCCCCCACTTCAGCAAAATGTGATGCGTCGATGATTTGATTTTGAAACAGTTCATGGGGTCTATAAGCTTGAAGACATGGATCATGAAGTTTCCACCCATTTTACCTTCTGATTTTCGCATCATAGCTCTCAAAAAGAGCATTGTTCCGCCTTTTTAAACGTTGGAAGGTTACGTTTTCCATATAGGAAGCTTGAAACCTCGTAGTTTGTAGGCACAGGGGGCAGGGGAAGCAATGGCTTTACAAATGAGCTGTCAGAACAACAGGCAGAAGCATGTCGATTTGAGTGATGGTGGAGGAGAAAAATGGGTCAATATTATTCTTCACATCATCAAATACTGTTGGTGGGTGAGGGTGATTTCTCCTTCTCCCTTTGCTTGGCTCAATCCTTTGGTTCAGCTTTCAACATCGTTGCTTCTTCCCTTGACACCTATGGTCTCTCTCTCTCTCTCTCTCTCTCTCACACACACACACACACTGCTCTTGCATTTGTGTGTGCAATGTTTCTTCTTCAAAATTTTCCCCTTTCTTGTGACAGCTGTTATTTTGAATAATGGAGTTATCTAAAACTGCATAGGGTTTTTCTGATTGCTTGATGATGACGCTTCTTACAAATACTACGTTAAGTGTTTATTTTTCACCCTCTTCCCTCTTGAAATAACTATTATTTTCCCTTAGTAGTTTGCAAAACGATGGATTTGTTCATCAAGTGAGTTTGATTTCTGTTCGCTTGTTGCTTTCTAAGCACCCAAAAGAAGTCAAGCTATGCCCTGCAATTTCGCTGAAGGGATCATTGATAATCGGAAGGTTTCTCGTTTGTGATTTTAACTCCATGTACATAAGGAATCTTAACATTTGACCTTTTATATATTTATTTTTTTATTGTCATTTGTATTTTGCGTACCCTACGAAAAGTTTCTAGGAGGAGTCAAGGAGCTAAATATTTGACTTTCTTTAGTTATTCTAATGAAGCTTAGTTCAGACATAAATCTCGCCTTAATCGTTGCTTGCTTAGATGGTTTTCTGATTCTTCATGATTTGTGGAAGTGCTTGTGTTTATATACTATTCTTCCATTTTTCTATGAGCATCCCATAGATTTTGTTGTCTGAATCAATTGTTTCTATTTCTGCGCATGTTATCTAATTTGTGGACTGTGGATTCCATCGATCTGGTTTACTCTTCAGCTTTTCGTAATTGTTGTTACTACAGGGTTGAATGTTTGTCATGTCATTGATTACTTTTTCTGTTCATTAAGATCAAGTTGTGAGGAAGTACAAGAAGGCGATGTCAAATTTGATTGCCTTAACAAAAATGGGAGCATGTGTGTTGCATGGAGTTGATGCAACCCAAATGAAATTTCATCCATACTTGGAAATGAGGAGATTTGATAGAATTATATTCAACTTCCCTCATGCAGGCTTTCATGGCAAAGAAAGCAACTTCTCCATGATTCAGTGAGTTCCCTGTTAGAATTCATATTACTATTGTCTAACATCTCTGTGTCTGTAATACAATATAAAGACTGTGTTAGATGCCTAATGTAAAATGATCTTGGATATTTCCATAATTATTCTGTTTAAGCTTTTCTGAGGGATTGTACACACATGGCAATTTCTCTTGCTCAAAATCTGACTTCCAACAGACAAATATAAGCGGCAATCTTGATATCTTGTCCTCATACATTAATCTAATGATTCTTCTGCACATTTGTGCTTTTTAGTTTAAGCTGATTCGGTTTGGTACATGAATAATTTAGTTTTCCTAGCATTTGGCTACCTATGTATGAGATGGTTGGCTATAGAAATTATGCAAAGATATAGTGTGTGTAAACATATATTCATTGGAAACTTGCATGTATATTGTATTATTTGTACGTCCAAACATTGATTATTCTAACTAAAAAGCTCCGGTACTTTCACTAAAAGACAATGCATGGGCAAGGGTGATTCTGTCATTTCATTGGACACTTGCAGTTGTTATGTTGTGAGGAAATTATTTCAATGCTCTTGCATGTGATAATTTTTCAGGAGGAAAAACTCCAAGTACCCCTACCTGTCTATCAAGCAAGAAGTAAGGGCTCGTTTGGTACGATGGAATTGATTTTGATGGAAATAAAAATAGAAATAGATATGATATGGAAATGGAAATAAACATGAAAATGGAGTTTAAAAATATGTTTGGTATGCTGATGGAATTAGACATAACTTTTATTTGAAAAGACTTAAATACCCTTTAATTAAAAAGAAAAGAAAAGGAAAATCCTCCTTTCTTCATCCCCAGCCTCCTCCGCCGCCAACCATCACGTTGCAGAATAGTAAGCCATGCTTCAACAAACCGAAAACAATGGCCATACTTCAACCAACCAGAAACAATCTCTACCCAACATTATCAATAATCCATAATCAAAAAACCATGAATGATCTACAAAAATCAATGACCATCAAAAGAAAATATAAAGCTAGATGCAAAAGCAAAAATGTCTTCTCAGATGCCAAAAATGCCATCAAGCTTCAGTTAAATGCACTGAAGCAAATGAAGTATAAGGTAGAAAAAATGGCAAAACTAAGGAACCCTTCAATTTGGAGATGAAATCATGGGTTTAGATTGAAGTTTTCATCGTCTTCAACTTTCAGATCTGGAATCGAAACTCAGGTAGACCAAGGAGAAGCCATTCTTGACCCCTCTCCCTCTCTTCGACTTATTAGATCTCTTCGATAGCTAACACCTTTAACAACCATGATCTGAAGAACAAGTAGTGGCAAGATCTACGGGTGGGTGAGAAGATTGGCGGCGTTGAGTTGAGAAGATGCCGGCGGTGGGGTGTGAAGCTTGCCGTCGGTGGGTTTAGGTGTGAAGGTTGCCGGCAGTGGGGGGTGAAGCCTGTGTGTTAGGCATGAAAGGAGGGCAAAAATGAAATGTGCAACATGGAAATGCAAATCTTTGGGTTGTAGGATGGAAGCCAATTCCATCAGTTTGGCTTCCACATGGAAACCAATTCCATGGTGTTTTGGTATACCAAACATGCAAGAGGCACGGATTTCATTTCCATTTCCATTTCCATTTCTGCACCCTCAATTCCAATGTACCAAACAGGACCTAAGGGCTTTTTGGTCAATACAGCTTGTGAAGATTATTGGCCCCACTAGTGTAAAACTTGACATTCCTTATATCGATAGATGCTTGTAATTATGCATCTCTCTACCCCCCAATACACACACAAACACTTTTGTCTGGTTTCAGTTGTTTCGTTATTGACGCAATTTGACACATTTTTCTATATATTGGACCGAGTTTAAGGAATAAGTTGCACTATTTATAACTTGTGAATATTGATTGATATATTCTTATATTGATGATTTTATGATATGTAACGGCATTCTAAGTGAATTATTGCAAATTCTCCTCCAGTTAGTTTGTGTATGTAAAGGCTTTAGCGTCCTTTTTTGTTTTTGGTATTTACAGGAAACACAAGGACCTTGTGCGTGGGTTCTTTATGAATGCAGGGAGCATGCTGAGGTCCAATGGTGAAATTCATGTTAATCACAAGACCAAACCGCCATACGATGCCTGGCGCATAAAGGAACTTGGGATTCAAAACTTTCTATGGCCAATTGAGTGTGTGCAATTCAAGAAAGAAGATTACCCGGGTTATAATAACAAGCGAGGTGATGGGTCCAGAAGTGATGAGCCTTTCCACCTCGGTAAGTGCAGCACATTCAAGTTTGCCTTGTTGACAAAGAATGAATTCTACCCCACAAACCAAAGAACTCTCAGTTATCATCACTACCCTCTGATAAGCCTCAATCCTCACTCACCACCATCAGCAAAATTAGTTGCAGAAATGGACACCTTCCAATATTAGAAGGAGGAGGAGGCTACTTAAACGGTGGAATAGGGATTCGGGAAGAGCTGGTTATGTTGGTGGAACCAGTTGTGATTTGCAGAGATCATTGCGGTCTGAATCAACTGTGTTTGGGCGTCCACAAACAGATTATGTTATGAATATGGATATGATTCTGGGGAAACAAGCTTCTGGTTATGTTCAGGGAATCAGTTCTAACTTACAGAGATCACATGTTAGAGTTGGAAATGGAATGTTCTGAATATGTTCAAATTTTCTTTGCACTCTGAGTAATGCTAAACTTTTAGTTTTGTTCTAGAGCTTTTTGTTTTGTGGCTTTTGTTGCTTATCTTTTAGCTTCTTTTGTTGGCCTGTAGCTGCTAGCTGTATTTGTGAAGCTGTGCAATTTGATGTTAACTAGGATCTCTAAAGTACTTTTTGTTGAATGAAGGGAAAGAAATTGAAGGGTGATGTGGGTCTTATCTTTTGAGGGATCCACATGAACATAAAAATGTGAATTCCATATGTCAAAATGTTACTCCATGTTTGCTTTGATCCAAATATAATACCTCCATGTACTTTGTCTTTCAATTTTATAATACTTCCATATACTTTGTCTTTTAATTTTACTATACCTTCATGTACTTTATCTTTGTTAGTTGCATATATCAATTGGAAGTTTTCATCAATAAGAATATTACTAAAAATAATTAGAGTATTTTGGAGAAATAAATACATATTTATAATAAATAATTAAATTTTTAATCTCTGTAATTAGTTATTTGCCTCTTACCTTTAGAATCTGATAGTGATGGTTGTATGTAAGTATGACGTCTTAATTATGTTTTAAAAAATTTCTTGTGCTTAAATTCATGCTGAATTCAACCTTATTCTCAGTTTCCTCTTTGACTATTTTAGTAACCTAGCTAAACTACTCTCTTTATTGGGACTTGACTGGATCAGCTGATGAAATATTGGTCTTTCTGAACATTTGAATGATAGATTTAATTCCAAACTCCTTTCACATGCGTGCGGTTTCATGAATTGTTTGGTGATTAGGTTTATAACTGCAAGTTAAAATACTAACAGTATTAATATTAGTGACAAAAAAAAAACTTTTACTTCTGAGCTGATATCTTGAATGGTCCATTGAATTTGATCATGATGCATTGCAAGTAAACTTTTGCAGATTCATTGACTTCAGCTTAAATTCAAATTTCAGGCACAAAAAAAAAAAAGCTTAAAATTCAAATTTAAATTTGATATGTTTATCATAAGTACTACTTCGGTCTTTAATATAAGAGCTCGTTTGACTTTATTTTGGTTCTAAATATAGGACTCCAATTTACTTTGTTTATCATATTTATCCATTTTTTTGCAAGATAATCTTTGTAATAATGGTAGTTCTAGTCAATATACTTGATTAGCAATGATATTTTAGAAAAAACAATACCTATTTATTACAAATAACTAACTTAACTATTTTCTTTAATCTACCCAAATTAGTCAACTATTTTTATATTAAGAACCAGAGGTAGTAGTTAAATTAATTACTCCTTTTGTCCTAAACATAAAATCTTAATAAATTTTTTGTCTTTCAAATTTATAAATTTTTCTTAAAATCTTCATATTGGTTATATGTATTAAAGAAGTTCTCAAATAAGGGATCAATTTTTAATGCAAATAATTGAAAAAAAATACTTTAAAGAAACCAATACATATTTTTTTAGAAACAACTAGCCTAACTAATTTTTTTATAATTTTTAAAAATTAGTTATCTAACTCATATATTTAGAATCAAAGTGAAAATATTAAATTATTAACATAAAAGAGAAAATAAATGTCATTCTGCTTTTGAATCTGATTATAACGGCTATAGTATTTGATTTTTGACAATATCAATGAATAATTTCAAAGATAAGATCATTTTATCATGAGGAAGATCAGCGTGGCAAGATTGATCACACCAGTAATCAAAAGAATATTTGGGACTTCAATGATAATATAATCAAGCTATGAATTCCACCATTAATTCTTACAACATGAGCGATGTTAAATTATCTGCAAAAAAAAATTCAAAAATTTCTAAACACCAACTTCAAATCCCTTTGATTAAATATAAATGGCCATATTGTTCACAACTCGTGCTTGGCAAAAACGGGGGAGAAAAACTTGTCAACATTAAAACTTCTTATAAAATCATATTGGATAAAGTAAAATCTAACACGTTGATATTATGTTTTAGGTACATCCATCACTCTAATCTTATTCATTATGTATTCAACACTCTGATACTACCTCTTATCATAATTATAAGATCTCGTTATGATGTCTTATAATTAGAATCGGAGTTAGGATTATTTTTTAGTTACATCCACATCGTAATCTTATTTATGATTTAGAGCACGTGATAAACTATAAATAAAATTAGAATGCTAGAAGCACAAAAAAATAATAATAATTGGGTGTTAAATGCACCATAAATAAGATTAGGTACTGGATATATGAGAAAAGTAAAATTAGGCATTGGATGTTACTGTACCCAATTATATTCTACACTAGGAACATAAATTTTTAGTTATATGGTTATTTCATTTTCATTTCGATTTTAATTTACCAAATAATTTATCTACATAATTTTCAAAATAAAATAATCACGTATTTTACGTGGATAAAAAATAGTCACATATTCAGATATCTTATATATATATATATATATATATATATATAACCCCATCAAACCAACAATTTAATTGACATTGAGATTACCAAACTTTTCAATTTTTGGAGCAGTCTGACTAATGATCCACATATATAAATTAATCAAATCCAGCAAAGCAGCCAATAAAGCTCAACTTGCTCTTCATATAATTTAATGTAATCTAATAAGAGAAAAATCATATATAGTGGTAATGAGCTACTTTAAAAGAAAAATTATTAATCAATGATTAGCTGTAATTAAAATTGTTGTTTATGAATAATGAATTATTCATGCTCTTTATAGTTCAAGTGCAAGGTCTGGACCACACCAAAAATGTGAAAGAAATAGTAGGAATTGACCAGAAACCGATTTTAATGTAACTTGTGGTAATCATATTTTATCTTAATTGTCCATATATACACCTATTTCATTGTTGCAACATTGTGAACACCGAATTTTTTTTATTGGTGTCTAACTTTATGATTTATATGGTCAACATATATATAATCGATATGTGGCAGATTTATAGTGTGAAAATGTAACATTGTTGGGGTTCTTTCCGCAGTTATACTGTTAAGTTTTTAGATTAATGTAGAGAATATAAATGAAAAAGATTCATACCCTTTCTGGAAGATTGTATTGTGCCTGACCATTACTGTGCCTCAGAATCTGATTTTCAATGGAGAATAAGTGCCAATTCTGATATCTTATTCTGTTTTCTAAGGTACTTTCTGGCGTATGAGAATTTTAGTTTTCCAAGCATGTGGGAACTTCTTATTTGTACACAGCTGGAAAATGATATACATGAAACTACACCGTATATGGGTTTTATATATGCCCCAGATAATAATGGATCTCATACGCATATTGCTGAGCATAGTAGTTACATGCACATGCTAGCATGCATGTAGTTGTGTGTGTATGTGTGCATGCATGGGTTTGCATCTTATAGGGAGATGTGTACTTAAGCATGTGGGTGTGCATGCATGGGTTTGTTTGCACGTGCACATTAGATAGATGTGTTCTCACACACACACACACACACACACTCACTCTCTCTCCCCCCCCGTAAACAGAGGAGGATATTTGGCTCTACACCGCACACCCATCTAATATAAAAGGGACATGATTTTATATTCTTTCCTAGTTGTATGCCAAGGCTTTAGCGTCCTTGTTCTTGCACATTTTATTCACAGGAAACATCAGAACCTTGTACGCGGTTTCTTTATGAATGCAAGGGGCATGCTCAAACCCAATGGTGAAATCCATGTAAATCACAAGACCACGCCCCCATTCAATAACTGGAATATTAATAAACTTGGCATTCTAAGCTTTCTGAGACTTATAGAGTGTGTTGATTTCAAGAAAGAAGACTACCCTGCTTATAACAACAAGTTTTCCACGGTAACAAAGAAGAAGAAGAACTCTGCTGACACCATAAATCAAAGAGATCAGCACAATAATGACTATCCTCTGACTCTGATGACAAGCAATACTCCAATTTCTGGAATGGAGCTTCTTGGGAGAGCAATTTCTGTTTATGTTGATGGAATCATCTGTGATTTGCAGAGATCATCATGGCTTGAATCAGCTAATGTTAGGAATAAGGATATGATACTCTTAGCCTTTTCAAATGATCAATCTTCTCAGACTCAGATGATTGTTACTAAGCTTTTGTGGTCATTTTGCTGCATCTCTTGTTGCCCTCAAGCTACTAGCCGATCTTCCGATTCTGAAGCTATGTAGCTCGATAATGATTCCTATGTTTTGAAATGTTATCGCTGGATCCTCTTCTCATAGTATCTGAGCAAATGTTTATTTGCAATGATCTTATTTGGTGTTCTGAATTGATTGAAGTGGGCTCCATGTAATTGTATGGGGCTTAAAACAAGCCGTATCATTCACGGTTTGTTAACATTGCGACTTATTAATGATTATTATGTGGAGTAGGGAAATTATGGGAAAGATATGCTTAATAACTCAATGCCTTTTATTTTAAGTTAAAATCATAAATATATATATACACACATAATAGAAATTGACACAAAAGTGATTTTATGTATTTATTAAATATATTTTTACTTGATACTTCTTGTGTTGTATACAAAATGAACATACGGTATTTAGGGCCTGTGTTTTTTTTTTTGGTCTCAAAATATTTTATCAAAATATTTTTTAAAATAAGTTATGGAAACAAAAAATTAAAGAAAATTATTTGGATAATTGTTCTAAAAAAATTACATTTGCAAATAAATATATTAAGATCGGAGGGTGAAGCTCTGAAGCTTCAACAAGAATTAGGGGTGTTCAATTGTGTCCCGTCCCTATGTCCCGTCTCTGTCC